AATTACCAACTTGTTATGCAGGTGTGTTTTTCTCCAAGAATAAGAACCTGTTTTAAGAACCTAAATAGCCTAAAATTTTGTTAAGTACCATTTATATAAGAACCTGTTTAGGCTAACTCCTAAAATTATAGGTTCTTACTTGCGGGTTTTTACTGTAGTTCATTATTCTGCAATGTCCATCAAGGTGATTGAAACTGACTTAATATGCTTCACAATTAACAAATGGTACACACCACAGGGTACACTATTCAGTTATGGATGCACATGGGAGGTTGCTAAGCACGAAAGAAGCTTCTTGAGTGCTTAGCAAACCTCACAAGTGCATCCGTAACTCGATAGTGTACGCTGTGGTGTTTACCATTTGTTTAATAACATAACATTGATACATTGTAGCTAAAGAGTTCCCTTTTATATAACAAATCTTATGTGACCAGAAAAAACAAGCGCGTGCAGAAAAATAGTCTTTCCATTTGCTCATGTCAGCAGCATACACCCATGGGCAAATGGGGGACGCTAAATTGACCAATCAGAGCACGCGCTTTACTTTGGTTATGTTATAATTAAAAAAGTCACATAAAATGAGAAAAAAAGTAGGATTTTAACCATGTTTCAAATAGATGATCATAATTGTTACAGCGAGAGAAAGAAAAAGAATGTTCATCAACGCATTGACAGGAATTTTGTCACAGAGGTGGAATACAGTTAAAAGTGATGTGTGATTAAGCCCAAAATTAATCCATAAAAAGGAAATTTTACAAAAAGGTAAGTTAATGTAGGATTTAAAGTTTTCCCCTGTAAATTTTTTATGTGCGAATTACTGTTTAAAGTAAACCAGACCCCCTTTGCAACCCTTTGTCAAGTGACTTCCTTGTTAACACAGGGGTTACTGTTACAGAGAGTTAATTGCGGGAAGATAGGAGGATAATGATGCTTGCAGCTTTCTAAAAAGGAGGAGGAGGAGGGTATTGAAGAAACTTGAACAGCTAGACTGTATGATTGACAAAGGGAACAGAGGAAATTTTCACTATTCCTTGCAAGTTATGTGGATTGGGAGGAAAAGGGTGGATAATCCTTAAGAATGGAACTTCTAAACATAGCTTTCCACATATAAGTAGGGTGCACTAGCTTAACGTTTGAGTTAAAAAGGGAAATTTTAATTCAAAGGGGTAGAGAGAGGGAAAGAAACGAAATCATCCACCACACTTCCCCAGAGAACTAACCAGATTGGACCTCATCCAACTTCTTCTCGACTTGGCTTATGCGCTCTCGATACAGCCTGAAAAATGAACATCACTTAATCACAGAAACTACTACATGCTTATCAAAATCATCATAATAAAATTAATACAGCTAATGTTCAACAAATTGATGCAAGAACTAAATTTGAACTAACTGTTCTTTCAGGTCGCTAAATTGTCTTTCCAGGTCTGCCATGTCATTGAGACATTCATTTCTTCTTCTCTCATTTTCCGTTTCGTCGACTAAAAGTACAAGGATATTTCGATAAGAAAAATATGATATACAAGCAAAATAACAACACCAAGGAGCAAAAACGCGCGGAGGAAAAAATCAAAAGGCTGCACTAACTGCTGGACTCAGAAGACGATTCGTCGGAACTCAGGCTGCTCTCTTCCTCCTCTTCTTCACTCATGTTCTCGTCTTCGTTAGGGCTCCTTTCCACTTCCTCCTCACCATTTTCTTCACCATCTACAGACGGCATATTTATTAGGAACTACAAGATCCCAGTTGAAATGGTAACAAGAACCAAGAAACGAACCAGACGTTCAGTAGTACTGCAGATCTTTACACCTAATTTGTCATGCGCTAAGCTAGAGCCCGCATTTCCTAATTCAGCGGCTACAACTACACGTTCAATCAGTACTTGATGTCATGTCTACACGATGTTGGACAATTTTATATAGGATGATGGTTTTCTTTGGAGCATAACCGAACCAGAAAAAGTTTCCAGGCTTGATCCGAGCAAAACTTGTTTCGTACATTGCGATGTTTCTTAGAAACAGTCACCTTATCTTGCCAACTAAATCACATAATTAAAGATCTGGGCCCGGTTGAACAACCGGGCCCTGTTATATTTGGGCTGAACTGGGCTTTTCATTTGACAAAGACATTCTGATGTCAAAAGGTTGGATTTTACAGTCGCTTATCTTTGCACTGAAAATTCTACCCATAACTTTTGCTAATTTAGTCTGTTATATCTGAGTAAAAAATAGAAGTGGAGTCTGACTTAAGACCCGTGCATTCCAGACCACAGGCTACAATCTTTGCGAGATTGGAAACAGTTGGCTGCCGTATAGGACACTGTATCAATTATACTCTACCTTCTTCATCATCAAGTGTGTAGAAGAAACAAAGGGGGTTTCCAGAGACAAGCTGGTCCACTATGCAAACATAATCTAAGTTGTTAAAATGGGAATTAGAGAAAGGGAAATGGAGAGTAAGGAATGGGAAATAATTTTTAGAGAAACAAGATGGGAGAGGGAATTGAATTACATATAATTTGGAGTATGTTTTTCCAGAGGAAATTAACAATATTCGTGTCTTCTTTTTACTTTTATGGGCTAGAACCAAGGAGAACAATATATAGATGATATAGAAGTTACATTCTCATTAGAATATTTCATTCTTTAATTGCCTGAAGCAAAAGAAGTACTGTAATGCAAACAACTTCTGAAGTTATCAATCTAAGTATTTAAGGTTGCAATGATTTGATTAACTTGAAAATCAAGACCTTGCTTGGGTCTTGAACTAACACTTACATGCCTGAAGCTACACAAGAACTGTAATGAATAGAATTTCAAAAGTTATTAATCTATGTTTTTAAGGTCGCAATAATTTTGGTTAACGGGAAAATCAGGACCTTGGTTTGGCCTTGAATTAACATTTACACTTAAAAACACAATTTAAACAACTAATGTTGTGTATTAATAGTTATCCTGAAGTTTTCACAGGAAAGCATCACACCATTCTTTCAAACAATTATAACAATCTGAGCCCTGCTTCTTGTTAGCTAAACACGTCTCTTTAATCCAATCCATAAACATCTCCTCATCCTTCTTGAGAAGAAGAAATTGGCCCAAAACAACATAGGCCTTGTCAAAGCCTTTACCGGTCAACCTTTCCCCCAGGACTGCACCAATTCCTGCAAGCTCTGTTACTGGCTTTTCACCCATAGGTTCAGACACAAAGTTTCTGTGTTTTTGTGAAGTAGAACTCATGATTCCAAAAGGCACCTTCCTGCAGATTAGAATAAAGCTAAAGAATTAGAGGTTTCAAATGTGTCTGGTCCAGATGCGCTAAAATAATAAGATTCTGTGATCAAATTTGAAAGCGAAAGGCCGTTCTCTCTGATCAAAGGTGTGCACTTGGGATCTGCGTGTTTTCGATGTCAGGCAAGGCCAGATTCATCTGCATTGACAGTTAGCAATTCCCGCGGGATTAACTAGCCTCCCTCGAAGAGCATAATATGCAAGCGTGCATCATGCGAAAAATCTCGATCAATATATGAGTTGATAACTGATGGGTGTACCTGGTTTGCTTGGTAAAGACTTAAATGTCCTTGTAAGCTAAGGTCGGTATTTTGGTTTCATACCTATCTAAAGAACTTTCGACATCCGGCACGGCTAGTTAGCGCTCTTGTTTGAGTGCTGGCACCGTTGATCCATCTTCAGAGCTGACAGATCGACGCTAATTACATAAAAAATTCGAAAATTCTTATACCTAGATAAAGACTCTGCAGTGCTTGACGATTCTTGGGTAAATTGAGGTGATTAAAGGCTCAGTTTCCCAAACAAGTTATAAAGGGCGGAAGTAAGCCGAGTCAGCGTTTACTGAAGCCCAAGCATAATCATCGATCGTCGCCATAGTGGACTTAAAAATGGATTTAGACTCTCTCTTACGCAGAGCTAATGCAATACTAAATACATTGAATGGATTATTACCTCAATCGCACAAAGACGGAGTCCAAAGTATCCGCAAACACAGTCAATGCCACATGGAAAGGATGTGCAGTGGCTCCCAACGATCTTTGTATCTCGTGGATAATTCTCCAAATTTGGTAAACTTTGCCATAAATGGATATACCGGATGGCGGGAAATCGAAAGGCTTGGCGACCGCTCAGGCGAAGTTTTCCCACTGATGTGGACGAAGAGCGGAAGAAATAACTTGTCAAATTATAACCTAACGCAACATGCGCAAGGCTAGGCCAGGGAAAAGGAAGGCGCCCACCACCAGTGCACCTGTACCCGTGAAGAAGCAACCTCGTAAGCCCCGAGGAATGGTTGAATTGCCACCAGGAATCGTCTTGACGGATCTTACCAAGAAAAAGTGGCGGTTGGGAAGGTTGTTAGCATGGGGTGGCTTTGGAGCACTTTACTTAGGTAAACTATTTCTGATATGTGAGCTACTTGTATGGTTTTTCCGAAATTAATTCCACATTAACTTAACACAGTGCGATGTTGGCATTGCATTGGTGAACTATGAAGAGAAAAGGCCGCAGATGAGGGTTATATGCAGGGTAGGTGAGGAAGTATGTGGTAAATGATGCAGGGAAAATTTTTGGGTTTCTATTTCTTACGCATTACCCAGGATACCCTCCACAGCAGTCATGAGTCCCTTTCTACCCCCTTCCAGAGCACAGAAAAAATAAATACCTTAAGTCCAATTAAAAATGACAATTTTAATAAACTTGACACCACTAGCTATGGATAGGGTAGTCTTCTTGTACAATGTTGCTGGTTTTTTAGTCCTAAGGGTAATAATGCAGTACTTTTGTAAAGTTTTTCTTAAAAAAAGAACATATTGTAACTCCCTTGTAACTTGCTGATGGAAGCAGCCTCAGAATACCCAGCTACCTCATTTACATCTGTCGCAAGGCTTTGAACAACAAGGCATAACACAATAGACGCTATTTTTTATTGAATCACATGTAAATGAGTGGCCAGGTATTGTGCAGTTTAGCCAACTGATCTTCCTCTTGAAACAAAAAAAAGGGGGAAAATAACTGCTCAGCAAAAAACTTCAGTCAACTTCAGTCCTCTAAACACAAATTTTGAATCCACAATGTAAAAGTGGCACTTTTCAATTCTCGTCCTACACAGTGCTTGCCAGAAACTGGCGAAAGGAGAGAGTTCGAGAAGAGACGGCATCTTTAGCCTTAGGATTTCAGGGTTAAAGGCAGATGGGTGTATTTCACACTATGAAACATCTCACAAATCCTCTTTGTATTTTGTATTCTCTGTAAGATGGGGTCAAAGTATTGTTAATCACATAGAATAAAATCTGAACTGATCACAGTAATCACACAGACAATTATTTTTATCATTAACAGCTTCCCCTGACAGTGGATCACCTGTTAATGAAACTGCTGAACATGTTGTTAAAGTGGTAAGAGTTTGTCAGATATCTGAATGTCTCATCAGCTAATTGCATCAATAGTCACTTGGACAATACCATCCTGTCATTAGTCATGAGTCAGTGGAAAATCAATTATGTTAAAAAAAACTGATGCAACTAACGCTTTCAATCAGGTGAAGAGGGCGGTGGCCATGCATAACATTTAGATCACATGTAAAGAAATTGCCATATATATATATATATATATATATCATTAACACATCAAGGCTGTGCTCTAAGAAAAATTGAAGGGAGCCCAGTGCTCTGAAACTGTGAAATCCAGGGTGCCCAGCATATGCTTTATATGAAAAACCTAAGATTCCTGAGCCGCCCAAGAGCAAAAGTAAGGTGCCAGGGGCCACTGGGTGCTGCTAGAGCACAGTCCTGCACATATAGAAGCCCCTCTAGACTGTTCATTAATGGCGGAGGTGAGATCCTTTCTGAAGAGGGTACTACCCAAGGTGACCCGCTAGGAATGCCTTGGTATGCAATTAACAGCATTCACATGATCACTAGTCTCAGGGCATCAACTCCCCAAGTCAGGCAAGTCTGACTGGCGGATGACTCCGCAGGTGGAGAGAGTATTGAGTCACTCTATCAATGGTACAAGAGTTTATGTGAGGAAGGGAGAAAATTTGGCTATATCATTAATGGTGCTAAAAGCTGATTAATTGTTAAGACCAGTGATCTGGTAAAGAATGTAAAGGTGTTTGGCAATAAAGTGAACATAACGGTCGGGGGACGACGTCATCTTGGTGCAGTCATCGGATCAAAAGAGTTTAAGGATCAATATTGTCAAGAGAAAGTTGATAAGTGGCTCACAGAAATGGAGTTCCTTGCAGAGATCAGCAAGAGTCAGCCGCATGCTGCCTATGTCACTTTCACTAAAGGATTTAAATCAAAATTCACTTATTACTTGCACACCATAGAATCGTTTGAAGAGTATGTGGACGCCATCGAAGAAGTGATTCCCACTTCCTTTCTTCCTTCATTATTCGGGCAAGCGGAGCCCCTCCCTGAAGAAGTTAATGAACTTGTCAATCTATCACCTGGGCAGGGCAAGATTGGGATTCCTGATCTAAGTGTGAAAGTCCAGAGCAGTTCAAAGCCTTGTGTGATATAACAGCACTACTCATCAATTCTATTCTTACTCAAAGCTCCACCATTCCAGCACGAGAGTTGATGGAGGAAACAAAGCATGAAATCAACGTTCAAAGGAGAGCCTCTGCGAAGTCCCTGATTGGCAGGATTGACAAATCGTTATCTCCTGATCTGTTCCAATCGGTGCAAGAGACAAGGGAGCCAGCTCTTGGCTAAACAGCACTCTGATCAAAGAACATGGACTGGCTTTAAACAAGCTGGAGTTTAGGGACTCACTTTGCCTCCGCTACAACATCCCTCTGCCTAATCTCTCCAGCTACTGTGCTTGTGGAGAAATCATTTCTGTCAACCATGCTTCATTATGCAAGAAGGGAGGTTTTGTTGCCTAGAGACACAATACTATCCGAGATCTACTGACATTGCACATCAGTAAAGTGTGCAGAAATGTGGAGACAGAGCCACTCCTGCAACCACTTGACAATGAAATTTTTAACCTTCAGTCAACTGTCACAAGTCGAGAAGCAAGGCTGGACATAAAGGCAGGAGGCTTTTGAACAACAGGAGTAACAGCATTTTTTGACGTACATGTAACGCATGTTAACTCCAGGTCCAACCAGGGCAAGTCCACAGCTACAATTTTCAAAGAGCAAGAAAATGAGAAGAAGAGAAAGTACAACCAGAGAGTGATGGATGTGGAAATGGGAACTTTTACACTGTTGGTGTTTGGTACAAACGGAGGCATGGGACTTGACTGTCAGAACTTTTTGAGAACTCTCGCAAATAAGCTTTCAAACAAGAATAATGAACCCTACACCAGCGTCATTTCCTGGCTACGAATACAACTTTCATTTGCTACATTAAAAACTGTACACCTGTGCATAAGAGGTTCTAGAGTTCCATTTAAATCACGGGAGGTCTCAGAAGACTTCACCCTCACTGTAGCTGGTCTTCACCTACACTCATAATTTTAGGTCTTTATATTGATAGTTTTTTCCTATTTAGTAATGCTAAATTTTTTCTTTTCTCACATATTGTATTTAGTTTTCTATTGTGAATATTAATTTTAATTCTTTTAAAATTTGTAAATAATTAGATATAATGGTTTAAAATTGTAAATAATTGGTTGCAAAAAAAATGAATATTTATTTCTATTACGTTCAAAGTATTAAAAACAGGGGTTTGACACTCGCAATAGGCCACAGACTAGTAGAAATTCAGTTTTGGCTAATGGTTTTTTTATTTCTACTAGCCAGTTTAGTTAGTAAACAAATTGAAATTGTTGTAACATCTAAGCTGTCACTAGCTGCTTGGCTGGTAAGTTGAAAAGTAAGTGTCAAGCCCTGAAAAAGAAACTATGATTCAAATGTTAAATAAGTGAAAAGGCGAAAAGATAGATTAAGTTGTGCGTTATTATGGAACATGAACCTAGATAGAGAATTGAGATTGTTTGCTTCCTAAGGCAATTCAACTGTGATATTCTTTCCTTTTCTACAGGAGCCACATGCAAATGGCCCTTTATTTACAGAACTTGCATTTTATCAGCGTGTGGCTAAACCAGAACTAAGTATGTCAAAGAACTCTTGAATTTAAAAACTGCCTCTTATTAATTAAACATCATGTCTCTGAAATTGTTTATAGCTCTTCCTCTTTTTCAGGATATGATTAGGTGTTAATTTATGAATGGTTGAGGGGCTTCATTTAATATGAGAGAAAATGAACATACTTAGAGTCAAGTTGTCCCCTTGCAAAATCTGCTGTAGAGAAAGAAGTACATGTCCCTTAAGTTTGGATCATGAACCCTTCACAGCCTAATATTAGTTTGGATATTCTTCATGCTATTCTTTATACTTCTCCTCTGGTATCAACAAGGAGAATTTCTATGACAATCAAGATCTTTTTAAAGCTAGTGATTGTTTCTCTTATTCTCATGACATTTGTGTTTTGATTCTGGGTAATAATTTTGGGAAAAATTTAAATGCTAGGCACTTTGAGGCATGAAAAGTTGATGTCTTGCTTGTTAGAATCTCACCAAGGTACATGTTATAACTGGAAATGTTTCCTCTTATCAGTAAAAAGCTGGTGTCAGTCACGGCATCTAAAACATCTTGGTGTCCCAATGTTTTTGGGATCTGGATCATTTGAACATGGCTCCAGGAAGCTGCGATTTCTAGTTCTGGAGCGGTTTGGGAAGGACGTTGACGAGCTTTTCCTAAGCAATGACCGAAAGTTTGATGTGACAACAGTGTTGATGCTTGGTCTAAGAGTTGTAAGTATCTCTACCTATTTGAGAGTTGTTGCTTTGATTTCAGTTGTAATGTGTGCCATGTAATATGCAATTTTGTATTCTTTTTCCATACTGTGAACATTTCTAAGGCAATCAATTCTTGTATGAAATTCACCATCATAGTGGTGCTTCATAACTAGGATTTTTAAAACATTTTATTTCTGTTGCCAGATTGATGCTCTGGAGTACATCCACTGTCACGAATATACCCATGGAGACATTAAAGGCTCAAATCTCATGATGGGATTCTCAAAGTCAAAATCTGGTCAAGTAAGTGACATCTGCACATGTTGACAATTCCTGGTGCCTGATAAGAACCTTGTAGAAATGAATTAAACTGTTTGTTTTTGCAAATCATTTTTGCTTTGGTTATATTTGCATACAAGACTGACTTGCAGAGCTGTGTGAGCTTATCACACTCAGTTTCTTTAGCATGACATGATCAGGTTTTAATTTCCTTTGTGCAATGAGAAATAAGTGCCCTGCCCTAAGACAGGGTTTGTATGGGTCCTGGAAAACCTGGAAAGTCCTGGAAAAAGACTACAGGGTCTGGATAGTCCTGGAAATTTGCTTAAATCAAGCAGTAAGTTTTCAGAATTTACATAATAAGAAATGTGTACAGACTGCAAGGAGGACAATTCATTTTGAAATCTTGGGAATGAAAGGGATAAAGGTTTAATTTGGAGCCATTGGAAAATTAATCTGAGCCAGGAAAAGTCC